GTGGCGACCTATGTGGCATGTCCACTGATTGACGTCACCACTTGCTCCACCTTTCCTCGAACGACCAACCACCGCGAAGTGAAAGGGATATAGACTATTGCTCCGAAATTGATCATCTCCGAATACCGCCCAGGTCCCAGAGTCCATACAAAATTATTCGTGTCTGCTTCAATTACTAAGAGAGGAAGCAGCTCGTGTCAAGTAAATTATTCGAAGAGTGAGTTTACTTTGTGAATTTATTTTTATGTGTATTTCATCGTAAAACATTCTAAGTGTTATGGCAGACCATATTGCCACGCGCAATATATTCTGAACGCATTTTCACGCTTATTTTGCGCGATTCTATTCGTGTTTTCTTTTTCTTTATTCATTTCATAATAACAAATGTCATTGCAATAATCACACTAAGGTACTTGTTTCTGTGTACCTCTCCTTATATGTAACCCTCCAGCCAAATACACTCTATGAACTGGATCTGAAACTGGAACTGAAAGGCTGAAGGGCGTGCGGCAGTCTTCAATTTATAATTTAAACATTGCTATACCATGGTCCTAATTAGCTGCCCCATCGTCATTCCATTACCTAAAATCATGATGCCATGGTGCCAGTTAATGCACCAATGGTGTTACCAGGAGCCATCAGTGATTCCTGGCAGCACCATCAGCGTTTCAGCGTCTTCACGCATAGTCATTATGCAAGTCATTGCGCGGTCTTTGTTGTGCCGTCAAAATCCCTCCAGAATCATCACACAGTTCTTGTCAATCCTGCGTTCTACTGACATTGTGCCAGCAAGAATACAAGATGATCGGATTATCGGTTACATTGAGTGAAAGCCAATAAATGTACGCATTACGTGTGGCCTCACTAAACACATCTATGCAGCTTCTAAAAAGACGGTATGCCTGCATTTATTTAACGGTAATCTAAAATTTTACAAGGTGTAACTAAAAGGTTCTGTAGAAACATCTTCAAAGTAACGACAATAAAGCGCCACAAGGCAGCGAATTTTACCAAGATACGTTTATTGACGTGGAAAGTTGTTCATAACCAGTGCCAAGCAAAGTGTCTTTCGAAATGGGCTCAAATTACCACGGCCCTCAGTCGTACTTGCCTGTCGTCGTGTTGCTGATGATAACTGTGAACACTTCCCATTGTGTATGTGAATGTATACTGAGATATATTAAGAATGTCTTGAGTGCGAAAGTGTAACAGATGAGTGCTTTCTGTGCAGTGTGTGTTTCTTTCAGGAATAAAATTCTCTTAAACGATGGTCGGCGGCTCGTGCCGAGGCCTTCCATTGTACTGCGGATGGCTGAAGTACGCCACTGCCCCTAATTGGGGCCGATGGGGGCATGTAATTTGTGGTAGTGTGGGCATGGCGTATGCGCCAGCCCCTTACACTTAATCAACAACAAATACACTCAATAGGCGCATTATGTTAAGGAGTTCAAACGCGCTCTAGCCGCCGGAGTGTGCTCCTGTAATCCTAACAAGGTAAAAAGCGACTTTCGATGCATGATTACGGAGCGCGCTCCGACCCTGAGATGGTGCACGAGAGAACACGCGCCTGCAGTATACGGCTTCCGCAAGATTGAGCTGAATCTGCTTTGATGAGGCGTGTTCTCTTTCCTCCACTCGTTTCTGCCGTGAAAGCAACGTAACATTCTCCATGTGACACTTTGTGCCCCCGAAGGCAGTCTGTGGAAGTCGCCGTTAAGCGAAACTCCGAAGGCGTCGCACTCGAGCGTATTCGAACGTGGAAGTTCGGGGCACGTTAACTTCACTCGCCCAACGGTGATGTGCAAGGGAGAGTGTCGTCGCTATTCACCATGAAGTAGACGGCGCATGCTCTCCCCACACGATAACACTATTCACAAACACACGTAAAGGACGGGCATGGCCGCAACATTTCGAATGAAAAGTTTCCAAAACAATGACCGCCGACGATTAAAGCGCGACTTGGCGAGGAGGGGTGAAATAACGACAAAAAAGAACTGTATTGAATTTTTCTCAGAGTCATAGTTTTTTATATGCCGAAGTCAACTGTAAGTTCAAGGTTTATTTAACACCAGGTTGAATGGCTGATTGCCTCATTTTTTGTCCGAGTGCCGTAGATGAAGGGCATATCCAGGCAATCTGGTATTAGGGTTTGTTCTAGGTCGGTGCATTGCCAAGTCAACGTACCGTCGCTCCCTTTTATGGGGTGATCATGGCGTATATATACTCCCGTAGTTTATTCATTTACTTATGTGCTGTTCTCTGGTGTGACATTTAGAATCTAGAGTAGCTCACAGACTGTGTAGATAGCTAATCAAAGTAGATAGCCACTCCTGTGACTGCTGACTGCCTTCGCTGGCCCGAGGCCGGCGCACCCTCGCCTTTCGTGACGGCGAATGTGACACGCTAAGGGACGAAACGCGTTAGCCTAAAATTGCTAAACATATGTCCTCAAGCTGCTGTCTCGCTGAAGTGATTTTCCACGATTTGGAAACAATTTTCCAGCCATTAAGGCACAAAAAGATCGCGTGTTTATCAAAACGCATGTAAATTGTCAGCGATTAAGAGAAATTCTAATTCCGTGCCATGTAGGTCAAGCGCAAAGACGTCGTTACTCCTTACTATTGTGACGCCATATTTTTTGTTTGCTGTTAGTTTTCCTCTCCATACGTATATGGTGACGGTGGTGACGAGCCACAGACCACAGGATACATGTGTTTCGGTGGAAGTTACGCTACCAGTTTACATATACTTTGGAGTAGACACTACCGTAGGGCCACTCACTCATGCATTGACGACCGAGTGGAAGCGAGTACACGTACGCCTTACAACCCTTGCTCTGCCGCAAAAACACTCACTCTTTATGAAAGTGTATTTATCCGTGACCACGTATCGTCGCGAATAAATGGAGCACGTGCAGGCGTCATATCATCGAATCAATTACTTTACATTCCTCATCGCACATGAAAATTACCATGTAGGTTAACACGGATAGTGGGAAAAAGCAACCGGCTCGCTTCGTGACCATGCTTCAAACGAACGCGTGTGCAGGATTTCCCATAAAAGAAGCTAGAAAGGGGCGAGATCTCGCCGCAGCAACCCCCACCCCCCTTCCTTCAAATTGGATTCAAAATAACCTTAGGAGTAAATGAAAAAATATTAAAATAAGGTGCCTCCCCTTGATTTGTAACTTTTGCCCAGAGAATTCCTGGGGTGAAAATGGGGAGGAGAGAGCTCTTAAAATGCACCATTATTGGTTTTCAGCTGCCATTGTCGACGAAAATCTGCATGACTATATGTATGTTTAGGAATGGCAAAAGCGCACTAGAGATAGGAGGTACGAAGAAGCACACTCACTCACACGTAGCACTTATCACGCCCCTAAACTAAAATGGCCAACCAACGTGCTCATAGTGCCCCCATAATAAAATTGCAGTTTGAACCACGAAGAAGATGGTGTGAGTATTCACTTAATATGAGCAGACTTGCCCTCTTTACCCCCGCTGCTTTCCTGGTTCACTCACCTATGGTCGTACAAGACGCTTAACCTCCACTAAGGCACTGTAATGTGAGGAAGTGACTGAGACTATTAAGTAGCTAAATGAGTGATTCAAAGGAATTGAGCGTTTAAGAAGCAACTGAGAATAATTTATCTAAGACGCCTAAATAGAACAGAAGGGATGGCTTTCTCCACCAGCTTTTTCTAATCGAGCGATAAGCGACAGCGTCTGCAGATGTGACATTGTTTTTCAGAGTCTTCTCAAGCCTCTTCAATAGTGGTACATATAAGGTTTTTTGCCTTAGTCATTTACTGCATTGTCACTTCAGTTTCGTCATTCCAAGAAAGAAAACCTACTGCCATCTCAAGCAAACCTGGATGAACTTATTCCTATCAAAACTGATGAGAAATGTGATTATTCCGTTATATTAGGGGCAAAACTCCTTATAGCGGCACCCGTTCGTCCCTCGTAGTATGTAACAAGTATAACATTTTGACCTCCAAGGTGGTGCCGGTGAGAGACTTCTTCTTTGCGTTGTTGAACAATAAAAAATAGTGCTCAATGTACATGTCAAAGGCTGCTAATAGGGAATGAAAGACAGGAGCATTCGGCTTTTAGTTAACGCGCAGGCTGCGATCACCATTAGTAGCCATTGGCATGTACATTGAGCACTATCTGACAAGAAAGGGTTGCTACGTTATACTCGCTGGGTGTAACCTCCTTAGCTTTAGAAAGGTTTAGCGAGCGTTGAGCCGCAGTGCCATGAATAAAATGAACTTGTAGATACTATGAATGAACTCGAGGTGGTTCAAAATGAGAAGTAGATACAAAGCGCAAGCCGTAAGAAAGTAAAAGCTGAATTCTCCGCCTCCTATTTCCAATTAGCAGCCATTGGCATGTACATTGAGCACTATCTGACTGAAAAAGTTTGCTACCTCATACTCGCTGGGCGTAACCTCCTTGGTTTTCGAAAGGTTTAGCGAGCGTTTGGCCGCAGTGCCATGAATACAGTGAACTAGTATATACCATGAATTCGAGGTGGTTAAAGGTGGGAAGTGGACCCGAAGCGCAAGCCGTAAAAAAGTGTGCGTGTGCCACCTCTCGTTTAGTCCTTGGAATGTCCGCTGGATGGCGGTGCTTGTATATAGAGAATATATGATGAAAAGATGTGACATGGTGGTACTTGGAGTGTTGAATAGATGGACGAACGGACACATAGACAGATGCATGGATGGACGCATGAACGGACGCAGGGGCGGCTGCATGGACGAACACAGGGACGGACGCATGAACAGACGCACGCACGGACGGGCTGATGGACGCATGGACGGTCACACTAACGGACGCATGGACGGACGGAAGCAAGAACGAATGGACGGACGAATTCTTCACCCCACTCTCCATCATTCACTTCGTGGATATGCTGCCATTTTTTTAAGAGGCTCGATACTTTGCCGAGTTTTGATACTTTCTTTTTCTATCTCTCACTTGTATTCGTTCTAGATGCGTTCCTTACGGACCAAATGAAGTATGCGTTTGTTGAGAGCCCGTACGGCCTGAAACAGAAGCAGGTAAGGCATGAAATTTAAGAGTCTTACGATGACCGTGCATGGAGGTATCCTTGTTGGACAACGATTGCCTACGCCCCACATTACAGTATAGATGTTTGTTTGCTCGCTTACGTGTGCTACTTTTTTGTTTCTATATAAGTTCTTCGTCCTCGAATGAATGCCTCCGCCTTTAGGACAGACATCTACGACAAAGGAAATCAAAACGAGAGTCTTTCGTGTGAGTCTCAACAATATGAGCCAGATAGGCTCATGAATTGATGATTGGTTGAACTTTAACAGTCCTGAGACACGCAACCAGAGGCTTATGTTACTCTTTATTTGACGGGTGTAAAGAAGACAACCCTCCAAACAGCCAAAGCACTTGCACGAAAATATTGACAGTAAAACTTAACTTCAATTGAAGGCAGTGGGCATATTGATGTTTATACTAAGGGTACCTAAGGGTATGCATAGATGACCTGCATACCCGTTGTCCTTGTTGATATTATGACTCTCAGGGGTTCTTCTGAAGTCTATATCATGACAGTTTACAAACTTTCTTCAAATACATTTTCATTATGTGCTCTAAAACTCAATAAAAGGAGATAAAATTTGGTTCCTTAGCATTAGGTTCTTTGGTACGACGCAGATTTGAGCTAGTTGTTACAGATTCACGATAAAACTAAACAGGCGTGCAGATGCGCACCTCAGAGATAATAACAGGTATCATGTTTGTGTTGCTTTGATCACTTCTCATATGTGCTAAAGACCCTTTCGCTGTTTACAAACACAGGCCCTTGATTATATTTGGTTTTGTCTACCTAAACTGAAGAGCTTTAGAATATAGCCTGCTCATTTTCTACACTTTCCTTCGCTTAATCGGCAAAATATATGCAAATAAATGCTATTTTGAGCTACATAAAATTATAAAAGATTCCCTTAATGTCCAAGCACGCTCCTTTTTATCCGAAAAACTAAAGAGAGACTTCCCTCGCCCTGAACAAAAAAACACACTTGAGAACATACTTTCAGTTTCGAAGTTAGGAGCTGGTAAATCTGGTGAGCGGAAGTTTTTTGGGCGTACAACGCTTGCTCTCCCAATCGCAATCTGGAAATCGTCTATAGTCCGTCATAATTCCCTACTCTCGGTAATTCTCGTTTCTTCGAACGTATCTTCAGATAGCTGTGCTGGTGCCCGCCACCTCCCTATGCAGGACAAGTCAAACTGGGGATGGCAGACCACTAAGTACGTCACGGTCAACACCTGGAAGTGGTACATCCTGCACCCTATACTCGCCAGAGTCACAGCCCACGTGGCACCATCGGTAAGGACGGGCTTTCTTACTCGCTCCAATTGCCCAAACAAAAGGCTCTTTCTTTGTTTCCGCATGCCCTGAATGCTCCCTGGGCAGGCACATAGTCAAGCCTGAGGAGCCCTAGCCCCCTCCCTTTAAAAAAGTTTGATGTGGAGGGGAGAACGGTTAATTAACAAGAAATAATGCAGATGGGTGTTTTCATTAAATATTCCCCCGTCCCCAAGCCAAGAAAGAAATTCCTAGGTATGCGCCTTCTCTGGGAGCTGGTTATCAAGTTCTGCCAGTGGTAAATATGTTCAGCCACCCGAAAATGCAGTGTCGAGGCAGCGGCGTCTGCCTTCGTCAGCCTCTGTACTGCATGCAGGGCCAGAGCCAAGAAAGGAGGCACTCAACCTCTTCATTGAAAAATTCTATAATGATATACATTGTTGGAGGTCACCCGGGGAAATTTGTGTATTTTTTTGTTCTCATTCATTTCTTTCCATTTATATAGAGTTATTATTTTTATAGAGTTTAAGAGGCCAGAAATATCTCCTCATACCTTCCCGGCCTTCATTCTTTGTTATTTTGTTTTTTATATGTATTTATTGACCTATTTATTTATTTATTTATTTATTTATTTATTTATTTATTTATTTAGGTATTGTGTCTTCCGGAAATTGCAGCTTTGTGGAGGGCACAGGCAAAAACAATGAATACAGGAAAACATCATTCCAACTTAGACTTTTGAAATACAATTCATACATAAAATCAGGTGAATAAAACAATACAAAAAGGCATATTGAACAGAAAAGCGCAGCATATTAAGAAAAAAGTGCAAGGCATCTTGCGCATAACAAGAAAGAAAAGATTTGTTGGAGGCGAAAACGCTGTCGGCCCGTGTGCTCGATTTGGGCGCACGTTAAAGAACCCCAGGTGGTCGAAATTTACGGAGTCCTCTACTACGGCATCTCTCATAATCTTATGGTGGTTTGGGGCGTTATACCCCACATATCAATCAAATAAATCAATCAACCAAGTAATCAGGAAGAAAAGAGGCCAGAAATTACCTTTTGTTGATTTATGGCTTAAATTACTTAGGAGAAATTTTGTTCACTCATCACCTACATGTAGCAGCTCTGACGCCTTCAAATCTCTCTTTTTTTTCAGCTGATTCTCGTGTTCTACGCTGCCTATTCGTCCCTCTTCGTGGCCATTCATTTAGGCTGGGAGGTGGCGCTGGGGTTCCTGGCGCAACACGCCGTCTTCTACGCGGTAGCCTCTTTGCGCATACCCGCGCTGTGCTATATGGCCGCCGCCGTGATCCACTGCCAAAAGTTTGTGAACCTTTACGACCCAGCGATGGTGAGCCCACAGATTTTGAAAACGCGCTAGAGCGTGACAGCAGCGTTCCTGATTTCATGCAACGCCAGCTTCATTGAGCAGCACAGGATGTTTAAAGTTTCAAAACGTCACAGTTTCACCAAATAGGCGAAACAATGAATGCTGATAGCAACATATTCTAATGTTTTACGAAGCAAGGCTAACTTTTTAGGAGCAGTAATAGTTGTAGTAAACACGCGCTTGCTAAGTAACCAAGTTTTCTGTGGCGTGGTAAATGACCACAACAAGACTGGCGCGTAGTGACGGCGTTGATATACGGAATGAGACCTGGCAGTCAACTCATTTATATCGATCTAACATAGCTCTACAAAACGCTGGTGTAAGAGAAGATGACTGCTCCAGGTACACTCTTGGCACCGTTATTTCGTATGGAGAGTGCAGCTCGTAGAAGCTACCACCTGCTGTTGGGGCACAATGCGCGCTTTAAAAACCATAAGTGCCACTCCCCCTTGTTTGCTCACGAGATAAGTGCGCACGCAGACGACCTTGACTGGAAAGGCGATGTTCACTCCGTAGAAAGAGGAGGCTAGCGCATCCTTCCCTGTAGATATATACATACATACACATATACGTGAATGATAGCGCCCGTGGCGGTGACAGCAAAAAACAGCCGAGATTGTGCGTATAAATGCTATCGCAATAAAAACAAAATAAATGTGCCCTAGACGTGTAGAACTTAAAAGACAGCAAAGCTAGTTGATCTTATGAGTTTAGCGTGGCCTTCTTGTCTAATACTAGGTCTTTCCTTCGCGTAGATTAAGTAGACTCGAACCACAGCGTGTCACACAAACCTTGCAAGGGTATCCTAACTCAAGCACGCTAACTAATGGCCGAAGTGTGTTGTGGCACACCTTGTAGAAGTGCGGGCTTTTCGTTGCTTCCGATCGACTCGCGGCACGCCGGGACACATAGTGCGGCGGCTGGGTGGCCTGTTCTCGTCAGTGGGCGTGGCTGATAAGCAAATGGCGCGGGAAATTCCGCGTCCACCCGGTGTCGCACCTCGAACTTTAGGAATGTTGCTCTTTAAATGTTTCTGCTCAATCTAAAACACACACTCAAAAACACGCTGAAGAAGATGGGTGCCACTTTCCAACTCCCGGCCGCCCTGTTTATTGTCTTCTTTTGTGTCTCTATGTTTCCATGAGGCAAACTCACATAGGTTACGCACTTACTCTTGGGAGCCGTGGGAGACCCTCCTCCCTAAGCCAGGGCTGGAGCTTCAAAGAGGCCTTTTGGACTAGGCGGAGTATGTAGAGAGGATCACTGGAGTCCTGGAATAAAGATCCACCTATCTTTTTCTCTTTCTACCCCTTCCCCTAAATAAGCAATAAAGTATTTCCACCACCACTTCGAAATATGGAACTTCACCGGCTAGTGAAAACAGAGATGCCACAGGAAGAACGCGGGAAAAATGTTCATGTTCGCATACATCAGTTCACTTGAGATAAAGTTAGGAGGGTTTATACTCAGTGTTGCATTTTGGGATACTTGACGAAAACGTCATTTGATACGTGAGCATAAATACCTGAGAATACAGTTATACGCAGTTAATGTTGCTGTTTCTTTTATTACGATAGCAATGATATGGACACTCTCAGCTGAATTTCATTGCCGGCGTCAGCATCGATGTCGATGTCACGGACCGTATATGTATACGTATCTATGTACATGCAAACGCAAGAAAGAAAAACATCCCAGAAAAAAGACTCCGGAGCGCGGAATTGAACGTGGGACCTCCGCGATATTAATGCGAGGCATTCACCACTGAGCCACCGCGGGGTACCCCGTTCAACGTTCTAACGGCAAGCTATTCATATCTACCACGCACCGCTTTTAGCGGGCATCTCGAAGTGGGGAGAACTCTCGCGTTTTCAGCATTATCAGCAAGATGGCGCTGTGAGCGCGCAGCGGGTCTCATCTCTTACGCGTACTTTGGCCCGCGTAGAAAATAATGGGGGTGTACGCTCGATTGCGCCCTTTTATCTTGCAATGGGGAGAATCGTACGTCTTGGCTAGCCTTTGGGTTTTGTCGGAACAATTTTGTTGTAGTTACCGGGCGCGCAAAGGTCACTGCAATCATTGCACAGCTAGGGAGCCTTCAATTGGGTGCGTTTCCGTGTTTTAGGGTGGTAACTACTGCGATCACGGTTGCTTACAACTGGCGAAAACGGCCGCCATAATTGACGAGCCGCCAAGTTGGTTCTCAGCGGTCGCTCATGTGCATTGGACGCAACGTGGGTTTTCATTGTGAAAGGATGTTGTTTTTTATATAGAAAGTTAAGAAAGCTGCAGGGTTGCTTTCTTAAGTTAGCCGACATTTTGTAGAACAGTAAAAACGTGCTCGTTACTCAAGTTTGTAGAAAATACCATTAAAACAGTTTGTTTCTTCCACCTGGTAGACCCACCCCATTGGCGAAGTGAGGATATTTAGGGAGCCTATATTTGCGAGGAGGAAAACTGATCGATGCCACTTCAGTGTCTGCGTGACACTCATGAAGAAAACTCACCTTATCACTGCAGACATCTTAAAGGGCTTCTAGTGCAAGGCTCGAGACCGTGTTGTATTTTATGACGGTGACCGCAACGACAGGGAAGGCAAATCAAACAACCGGGTAGCTTGCGATGTTCTCTGTAAACCGCATCACTTCGCTAGCCTGTTTCTCATACCCCAATATTAATTTTGTCCGTAATAAACTTTCCTGGAGCACGTTTAGTTCCCGCGGACAAATCTGTTTAGAAACCTTATACATGCTGTAAGCATTGCCAGAAAATAGTAGGACACTCAATCATATTACACCAACCCCACAAGCCTGTATATAAGGCTAGAAGATAATGAAAGGGGACCAACGAGGAACAAACCGCTTTTTTTTTTCAGTTCAGATTTTATTGCAAATAGCATTCAAACAGCATCTGGCTTAAATTTCTTCAAACCTGGAAGCCTTCTTTTCTGGAAGCTTGTGTCATCGCAGGGGGCCTACAATAAAGCAATAGGGCAAAAAGTCATACACGGCGCCGACCACACATACGGAGTCCATACACATATCCTCTACAAGCACTAAATAAAACTGAGTTCACGATATCAGATCATCTTTGTGAAACAAAAGGACGACAAAACTAACGACGCAGCACCAATCCCCCATAAAGCATACTTCAGTTATGGGCCAACAACTAACTCGCTTAGTGCACGTAAACTGCACCGTTCAGGACCGACAGACAGACAGAAGGACGGATGGACACGAACAGTAAATCTGTCGCATTCTATATTATTAAAGCGAAATCCTTTTTGTCGTTGTTGAGCGAGTTTCGGTGTGTTTCCGCGTGTCTCTGAAGGGAAGAACGAATACCCCATGGCAAATAGCACAAAACTTAGTTGTGTTGCAGCTATGCAAGACAAGATTCTACAGGGAACGCGTTCGTCGGCTTGTCTGTCTACTCCTCCAAATGTTCTTTCTCGGGGACCAAGGTGAAAGTGCAGGAACGCGAACATCTGCCATCAAAGGAAGACGTAAACGCGAGAGTCTGGTGGTGGTTTGCGGACCTGGCGTTTCCCTCGAGCAACGCAGCGACGGCTTTAAAAATACGTGGCAATATACTCAATCTATGCTCGCAATACAAGGGGTACTCACCTCACAAAAACGGGAAGAAGTAGTCGGCTCTAAGCAATCTACCTTCGCTTGTGTGTAATCCAGCGTTTCCCTCGGTTAGAGCAAGTTGGGAAGTGAAACAATCTCCCGGTAGTTTTGCATTGCGGCACGCAGCACCATGGGATTCACACTACAAAGCTCTTGTAGGTGCGCTTAGCGCGAGGGTGGTGTCGTAGCGGAAGCTGTGTCTACGGTGTAGTCAAACGCAGCTCATACCGCACTTGCACAGCCGCGCCAACCTGCAGCTTGTGCAGTGCGGCGTAGCTGGAACGCCTGGCCGCGAGAACCAACATGGCGATTGTTGCATGGAAACCAAGACTGGCAACATTGTGTTTTAGCCGGCAGTGGCAAGTGGTGGGCCAAAGGCTGACACCTCCTTAAAACACAGAGACGCGCGCACATGAAGACTCCCTATGCACAGCCTCCATTTGCGAAAAGGGCGCGCTTTTCAGACACAGCGAATTAACAACTAAGAAGCTTATTCGTGTTCATCTGTGCCTGTGAGTACGTTTCATACGTCATTTGTGCGTGAGAAACGCTGAGCACGTTTCTATCTGCTTGCGATTCGGCACGTGCCCTTCCAATTTGTTGCTATCGCGTTCATTGCTTCGCCTTTGCGGCAAAGCTGTGGCTTTTTTTTAAATAAACTTCTTCATATTCTGCGCGTTTTTAGTTTAGTAGCGCATGCTTTCTTCTATGGCATTTAGCTCCATTCGAGCCACATCAAAAGGTTGCTCTGTCGTGAAACTTTCCACTCTGTTCGCCTGCTACCCAGTCAGTTGGCTTTCTGGAATCTGAAAAGAAAAATGAAAAATCAACACCACGGGGTTATTATTGGCCTCGAAAGGCTGAGTTGACTTAGCTTGGACTGACGACAATATCCATGGCATATCGTGCATGTACAATTTTTACGCCCAAGGGCGCCCATGTGTTCTTCATCGCTTATACATGTCAACGTAAAGAATGCGCGCACACGGTTTCTTTCTATCAAGAAATGCACCAAAAGGTGTACAACAGATTAAAAGCTCAAATCAAACTGTGCGATGTTAATTTAAAAAGCAAAGTGCCGCATAGCATTTCTGGATGTTCTAAAGCCTAAGATGGCTTAGCTATATATATACATATATACCTGCTCTAAGAAAAGCAAAGTATCGCATAGTATTTCTAGATAATGTAAGTCCTCTGATGGCTTAGCTGTACTTGTTCTGAGGAGCTGCTCTCCCTCAAAAAACAAACAACTTGGTAAAGTTACCATTGTTGGTGCATTAGTTGAGTTATACCTTGATGCTTAATGAAAATAATTTTAGACTACATACATACACTGTATAGGAACTGAACATAAGAAAGCCTTGCTAAATACAAAGAAAAAAATTACGATAGACTAAATTGCCTCTACTTGGAAGACGTGGTCGAACAGCACTAACTTTGTTGCTGAAAGCACATAACTACATATTGAGAGTATTCACGCTTCCTAAAGCATATCTGCGTACGTATAATGAATTACAAAAAAGTGTACATAAAGTACTGCGCTAAATTTCATGACCACTTTTGTTTAGCTGGCGCTGCGCCTCTTGAAAAATATAAGTGGTGAATTATGGAGCAGTCAGTTACTAGACGAATCCCCCGTGATGTGTACCGTTTGTATTTGATCGTGTGACATCAGTTTTCCTTTCTTTTTACCGAATCGCAGTACATGTACGAGCGATATGGCATCATGCCACAAAGGGTGGCCTACGTCACTTTTCACTGGAACATAATGCGTGGCCTCAGCTTCAGCCTGGACTGGGTTCGAGCTCAGCGCCAAAGCCTAGGGAATAGCCGGTGGCCGCCATATTGGAAGACGCTTGCCTATCTGACCTACCTGCCCACAGCCTACCATGGACCTCCGCAGAATTACGATGATTTCATGGTTCAGGTATGTCGTAGCTGCGTAGTGAGCCATTAATTGAGTCTGTTCTTCGATGTGTAGCAATCGCTTCCAGATGCTATGTATGGAAGTATATTCCATGCCTGAAAGATTCAGTAAAAAAAAATATACACAGTAGACTAAGAAGTGACAAGGACAAGTGCCGGGCAAGTATGGCGCGTGCACGAGCCTTCTGCTTTGAAACAAATATTGTGGGAAAAGATAATCTGATTTCATTCATATTGCTGTCGTCTAAGTTGCTAAGTAGCAGTAGATGGTGTCTTCATAAGTGTGTGTTAGTTTTCTAAAGCGGGGTTCCTAAGAAAAATACCGGCATATTCTCACCTTAAAAAACGAAATAGACTCCACTAGCCAGAAGATGTCCAGTCACACTTTTCCGTCATGGCCTTTTTCTTTTAGTGGTTTTTGTTTTGAGATATACAAGCAGCATAAATATAGTGTTTTCGCACATCTATTGGTAAATATTTCTAAATAAAGCTAGCATGCATGCGACTGGGTACCAGCTATAAAAGTTTTGTTATCTCTGGTTGAACCTTCACAACTTCGAACCACGCTCATTGCGGAGAATTTCTTGTAGAATAAACGCGCGCACGTGATCTCACATGACATTCATACACGCTCTACTTCATATATATGCACTTTATTAGATATGGACCCAGCTTCTTCAACATGTGGTTCGTACAAGGAAAACAAAATGCAGAGCTATATCAAGAAAGACAATCTTCAGCAGCATCACAATGGCTTCAGCCCCGGTCACATTTGGCAAATGACTTTTGGCTGAAAGAAAACATGCAGATAGCATGTGATAAAATACGTAATTGTTACGTTTTTCAACGCCCATTTATATAAAATCAGTTGTATGACGACCCATTATAATGTGTATTACATGTGTGTAGCACAAATAACGCATCAGGCTAAATCAATAAACCATGCACCAAGGAGTACACCAACATTCAACAGGGCAACTAAAAATCGCCAGTGAAAATGCTCGGACATTCCGTACACAAATATGATTGATATTTTCACAGAGAAAAAAAAATGATATAAGATAAATTGCGTTTATAGCATGTGTGCCTGTTTTTTGCATATAAGGTAAAGTATACATTTATTTTGCTTCAGGAGATTGATTTATATCTGTATTTTCTTTTAAAGTAGTGTTCAGTAACATGGGCATCAGTTCGGAAGGATTGTTCTCTGGCGGCCATGTGCGGCTGGCTGCTTAGAAAAAAGTGGTTAACAATTTAAGGTATGTTTTTTTTTGAAAAAATTTCGGCATATTCCACGTACCTGGGAATTGACGTTATGCGAAGCATGCTGAGGGAAGGTGACCGCTTGGAATTTTTGACTGAGCGACACGTCATGAAATGACGCTAAATATATGTACAAATGCTGCTCGCACAGACGTATGTTGAAGAGTTGCAAATGTTTATATAACCAGTTGTTTGCACTTGCGCAACGATGCCAACTAGAACATGCGTAGTAGCAACCCCAGAAGCAGAAATGAAGCGGTGATTATAGCGAAATTTCTGGCCCTAGACACTGCTGCATAAATGCCCCGCCGCGGTGGTCTAGTGGCTAAGGTACTCGGCTGCTGACCCGCAAGTCACGGGTTCAAATCGCGGCTGCGGCGGCTGCATTTCCGATGGAGGCGGAAATGTCGTAGGCCCGTGTGCTCAGATTTGGGTGCACGTTAAGGAACCCCAGGTGGTCAAAATTTCTGGAGTCCTCCGCTACGGCGTCCCTCATAATGATATGGTGGTTTCGGGACGTTAAAATCCACAAATCAATCAAATCAACTGCTGCATAAATCAACTAACCACACTTGACGTAACCAGACGTGACGGCTGTATCAAAGTAGTACATAATGTATATAAAATTGGTTAGGCAGCACTGCAACCACTATTGACGTTTCACGAAGATGGCTTAGCTGTATATATACATACATATATACCTGCTCTAAGAAAAGCAAAGTATCGCATAGTATTTCTAGATAATGTAAGTCCTCTGATGGCTTAGCTGTACTTGTTCTGAGGAGCTGTTCTCCCTCAAAAAACAAACAATTTGGTAAAGTTACCATTGTTGATGCATTAGTCCCCACATTGTTGATGCATTCATCCCCACAAATATATAATATATATATATATATATAAAATTGGTTAGGCAGCACTGCAACCACTATTGACGTTTCACGAAGATGGCTTAGCTATATATATACATATATACCTGCTCTAAGAAAAGCAAAGTATCGCATAGTATTTCTAGATAATGTAAGTCCTCTGATGGCTTAGCTGTACTTGTTCTGAAGAGCTGTTCTCCCTCAAAAAAGAAACAATTTGGTAAAGTCACCATTGTTGATGCATTAGTCCCCACATTGTTGATGCATTAATCCCCACAAATCAATCAATCAAAGATGAGCGTCTATTTGAGAAGTTATTCCGAGACCTCGCGTGGCTCTGTGGTAAAAGACTTCATTGCCACGCAGAATGCTTGGGTTCGATTCCAGCTAGGACCCGGACATTTATTCCTTGTATTCGTCGGGTCGACGCTACTGATGTAGGGTATTTTTTAACGCTTGCACGGGAGAACAGCCCATGCGTGTTCTCTTCGTTCCTAAGTCGATACTAAGCGCCAGTCACCTGTGGCACATACCCCCATACCAGTGGCCCATACGCGCCCGTGGGTATTTGCCACTGGCTGGCGGGAAGTGTTTGATGACGCACGCGACGGGATTGTGACATTATGGATGTCTTGACCAGTGCGTCATATTCGCCAAACCGTCTTACCCTCCCATGCTAATTTTAATTTACGCCAAATTACGGGGGTGACCATGAGAGATCTAAAACGTAAGCAGATAGATAGATAGATAGATAGATAGATAGATAGATAGATAGATACGCTCAAAGTAATCGAATTTCACTAAGAAATTCTTCGGATTTAAAAGGTAACAACTTAGCATACTAAGTACTATACTATGGAAGAGCATAGAGCCACCCCGCGGGCTGAGCAAGGGCCCACCTACTGTTGATGAAGCTTTGTGTGTTAAAAAGGAGTCATTACCGATTTAGAGCACCAGTTGTTTAGAGAAAATTGTTTAACAATTTCGAGTACTTCGTACTCAACGATGGGAAAGCTGATGGGGTGTTTCTCTATTCCCAAAAAAGTTCAGGTAGAGGCATGTGTTTCAGCGGTGACACTGAGCTTCTATTCGATCAGCTGGTCTAGCCGCAGCCGCAGACGATTTCCTTCCACCACTTGAGTTTCTTTTTTATTCAGAATGAACTGATTGAGTCCATTTGGTATGTTGGTACATGGTCTACATTATTAAGAAAACACTGTCAGTAGCGTGATGGGCGCGCAAAGTTTTGCTCCGTCAATTTTACCTTAACCGCCTTAACCACCATAGACGAAGCCTAGAGCGGCATGCCTCGCTAACCGAGACACATTCAATCTGGCCTTGATGCGCATGCCGGCTAAGCTGGATGATGTTCCCGGTATACAACATGCATTGTATGCTGATGACATCACCATCTTGGCCACGCTGGGTGCAGTCGGAAATATTGAGGCGAACGTGCAGCAAGCCACGAGCATAGTCTACCGCTATGCCTGCCATTGTTGCCTTCAGTGCTCGCTATCTAAATTAGAATTCGGGCACATACACGACTCACCCAAGTGCACCACCAAAATTGAAATCTCACTGGAGACAGATCCAATCCCTGAACAAAAAGAAGTCCGGGTACTGGGGCTCTTCATAAATCAAAACAGACGGTCAGACATCACATAGACCAAACTCCGGAAGGTGGGTGACCAGGTGGGCCGCATGGCCAGCCGGGACTGTTATAAACGCGGGAGGTTATGGTGCAGAGATGCCTTGCGGCTGGCACATGCATTTGTAACCAGTAGAATCCTGTATTCTGCACCATACCTCCACCTGCGGAAGCAAGACGAGGATGCGCTTGATGTCGTCCTTAACGAAATTGTAAAACAAGCCCTCGACCTCCCCGTGAACACTTCTAACAAGCGCCTTTTAGGCTAGGGCATGGCGAATACGTTTCGGGAGCTTCCAGAGACCCACCTCACAAATCTGTACACTCGACTTACACAGACAGTTGCGGGGCGCCGCCTATTAGCCCGCCTACACATACAACACTTTCACATCACGGAAGATCGCGTTCAACTCCCATTCGAGAGGAGGTGCGACCTCCACGTGCGTCCTCTTCCAAACAACATGACAAAAGATGACCACAATGGCCGGCGCCTGGCACGGGCGGAAGCCCTGGCCCTCTATTTTGATTCAAAACCCGGCGTGTACAACGTGGACGCCTCCAACCCACACCCCGTGGGCTGGTACACGGCCGCTGTCGTCCACGAAAATCAAACAGTTAACGGGCTCATGTTTCGAGCCCGGGACAAAATCCACGTGGAGGAAGTCGCCATGGCATTAGCCGCTTGTCACCCTAGGTCCGACTCTCGACGGGGCTGTCGAAATGTCGTGAACGGCCGTGTCGCATACTTGGCCTGCCGCTTATTGAAACGTTCTGACTATCAGAGAATCTCTGCACCCCACCGTATAGTCTGGGCTCCTGCTCACATGGGACTAGAAGGAAATGAGGCAGCCGACGCCCACACGCTCTCTCAACGGGCATTCCCACTCACGTCCCCCAATCATGACGTCCTTGAATTCAATTCGGGGCATTAATTCCGTGAAATTATGGACTATTAGCAATTTGATCACAGCCTTTATCCACGGCCATGCAAAGACCTAAATAAAGTGGAGGAGCAGCTTTTACTCCGACTATGCATGAACACTATGCTGTGCGCGGTAGCCCTCAAATACTTCGATCCCGCCTTTTCCGGCAGCTGCTTACGCTGTGGGGAGGCGTCTTCGGACATCTATCAGATGGTGTGGGCCTGCCCGTGCAGGCCTGCTGTACCCCCCATACCCAAGCCTGCTTGGCTGCTCTAGCCTTCAGGCCCAAAAGGCCTTGGTTCGACGCAACTGACGCCAGCAACCGACGCCAATGGCAGCAACCGACGCCAATGGGGTTCAGTACTAAGGATCCCCACCTACTTGTTGTGGGCGCCATCCTCTTATAAGGCGATCGCGGGAAACCTCGCGTTTTTGTTGTGTTGTTTTTGTTAAATAAATGTTTTTAGCACCACCAACCGGGATAATGCGCAAGGCAACGCGCAGGTGCGTTTCAAAACTGCAGATGCAATATAACGCCGCAGGTGGGCGCTGCGGAAGCTGCTTACATACCACTGTCATCCCTCACCCTCACACTTCCCTTGCCAGTGCCCACTTTCATGCTGCGCTTATTTCTGTGTTTGTTCTGTTTCGGCTCTCAATCTCTTTGCCAGTTACGCCGACGGCGACGCCACTGAACGAAGGAAGACACGTCAAACAGATTCGCTCAAAGCAATCTCAATAACTTTCCTTTTTTTCTTTCTTTTTTCCAATCTACGCAGATAGACAAGTCGAGGCCCCACTGCACGCTGAGAGAGATTGCCACATCGGTGGCACGCATTCTGCGAAGCAGTCTCCACTTCTTTCTTATGGAGTTCTTGGCCCACTTTTTCTACAGGTCTGTGGTCTGTGCGTTATATGCCGAAGTTGATAAGCCTGCAAGTACCTCGTACCTCTACTCAATGTCAGGGCTGTTGGGTTTTGTTATGTAATATAGCGCTATCTCATGTTTATATCAAACACAGACATAATGCTGAAAAGCAGATCAATGAGCCATATCAAAACAAAATAAATTTGTTGTGCTTTTACATTGAATGGTGAACGGCTTTTTCAACGATACTTTCACCATACCAGATAGTATGGCGTAGAACTCTGCACTCGGATATAATCAACTAGTCGTGTATAAAAAAACCCCTAATTGTTAGCATGGGAATGAACTATTTTGCCCCAAATTCTACATCACAGCAATCACGCTGCTCCAGTCATAAAAAAATTATACCAGCACATGTTTTTCTCTGCCATTTTTATGCTACCCTTGCAGTATTTTGGACCTCACTTCGCCATGATTAAAAGCACATTTTGAGTCACCTCCACGTAATCAATGAACGTAATTTGTTAATTCTGAACTGCAAGCTCGGCAATGGCCAGGTGGCCCTGGATGGCCGAGCGGCTGGACCTGTACAGCCTGGTGGGCTTCGCCTTTTCTCTGCTGTTCTTCTTCTACATACGCTACCTCTTCACCTATGGCTTCGCCGGTGCCATAGCCCGTGCCGAAGGCATTAACATCCCACCTCCGTCTATGTGCATTGCCACAATGTACCGCTGCTCACACTTTTGGAGGTGAGTACTTGCTATACGAGAAATTCAAGTTCTCATGAGCAGTTCAGTAACGCTGCTCGTAACTGGAATTCGGCAAAGTTTTACAATGTTTTTATTATACGCACGCTCTACGAGGGATTTCTGCTGCCACTGTTGGCGTCACTGTCATGTTCCTTATAAAGTCCAAGTCGATGACATCGCAGCGCGCATCGTACAATATATGCGCGAGTGAACGTGTGTGATCGGCCGGTATGAGCGCCGCTGTACCAGAGGTTAAATGAGCCCACCAACTCCTTCGCACGAAGGGTTCATGCAGTAACATCGGCCCACGCTCGAGGCCATTCCTGATGGCTCCTCAAGTGAGAACAGAAACACCTTGCCCGTCTTTCGTCGGACGGAGACGCGTGTAGAGGATTCAGTGGGAGTTAAAAGGGGTGCATCGCTCAAATAGCAACTTTTCTGTGTTTTATTTTTACATTGTTCGGTGCGATGAGCCCAGATATTTTTTTACCCTCACGGAACAACAAATCTGAACTTCGATCATATATAAGGGCCTGGTCCCAAGCGCTAACTCTACATACATCAACGAACGGCTCGTAAACCTTCTCGAAAGCTGTGTTCTCTCTGCTTCCTTGGCGTTATGACGACAGAGAGCACAAAAACTTCTGCACTCCCTGTAGCTGCAGTATTCCTTTAATTTATCGTTTTGTAGAGTTGCGCGAGAACAAATGAAAAAAATGCCTGGCAGGCCAACTTTGTAGAAGAGTCCTATTTAATATGTCTCCTTCTTTTATTCACCCTTGAAGCGGAACTGTGTGTGTGTGTGTGTGTGTGTGTGTGTGTGTGTGTGTGTGTGTGTGTGTGTGTGTGTGTGTGTGTGTGTGTGTGCGTGTGTGCGTAGGTGTGTGTGTGTGTGTGTGTGATAAGCAAAAAATCACAGCATGTCCATAGAGTGAATGATGATGAGTGGGGCGAAGTGAGCGACCGTCCGTCTGTCTGTCTGTCTGTTTGCCTGCCTGCCTGCCTGCCTACCTGCCTGCCTGCCTGCCTGCTTGCCTGTCTGTCTGTCTGTCTGTCTGTCTGTCTGTCTGTCTGTCTGTCTGGCTGTCTGTCTGTCTGTCTGTCTGTCTGTCTGTCTGTCTGCCTGTCTGCCTGTCTGTCTGTCTGTCTGTCTGTCTGTCTGTCTGTGGTTATGCTGTGCTGGCTACACCGGAGGGACGCGGAACTGCCCTATAGACCATAAAGAGCTTCGCCCCTGTAAATGTCGGACAAAAATGCGTGTAACGTGGGACTTACGGCATTATGCTTCTGTTGCAGGTACTTTGACCGGGGAATGCATCTTTGGATTCGAAGGTACGCAGCATCAAAGTCGATACGTATTTCTCACGAAGCCTCAACTCAAGCTAAATAGTCTGATTGCAAAGATGTATGCAAATTAGAGAGGTACAGGAGTTTGGATTTTGGAAACCTTCCCCGAAATTTCTCCGTCATATATATATATATATATATTAGGGGGCGAAATGTATTGCTATCATATACCATATGTATGCAATGTGTACACGCTTCTTTGTTTGCACGCACATACACGCATGAACCAAGTTCATTCTAATTCAACCCAACTCCTGTCCCCCCCCCCCCCGGCTCTAAGGAAAATTCCGTTTCTTCCCTGCGTCATGGCAAGTCAAAATGGTTTCAGTCGCAGGTGTGAATGCGCTTTCCAGCTGTCAAATACTATAGGAAGACAGGTGTATGACAAAAGTATGACACAAGAGATTATATATCACGAAAGCATTTTTCGTCGAGAGGCCAACCTCATGTATCCCATCTACATTTGCAGGTACTTCTACGAGCCAGTGGTGGGCCATAGTCAGAGTCCATATCATGTCGTGCTGGGTACCGCCGTAGCGTTCGGCTTCACCTGGCTGTGGCACAGTTTGCACAAGAGGGACGCCATCTGGTGCGCGCTCAGCGTTCTCGGCATTGCCCTCGAGGTGATTGTTCGTGCAGTGAGGAAGCAAGACGCCTGCAAGAAATTAGAGGTACGTAGAGTGAGACACTCTGTGGTGACTGGTTGTGGTTGACTAGAGTGGCAACCGCATTGAGGTGACTCGGCCTTCATCGCGTGTTCAGTGCAGCTCGCAGGAGTGTGAATGCTGCAAGGGACACTGAAGGAACTGAAAAGTGGCACTGCAGGGAGATATGGGTGGATGAAAAGATTATGAAAGGTAGCTAAAGCCACTTGCACCTATGCATCGATGCTTTATTATGGGATGAATAACTTCATCTCCCCCCTCCGTAACCGTTCAACCAATTCCTATGGGTTTACCAGACTTCCTGCAGGTTGAAATGTTTATTCATCGATTGATATGTGAAGTTTAACGTCCCTAAACCCCCATATGATTATGAGAGACGCCGTAGTTGGGGGCTCCGCGAATTGGGACCACCTGGGGTTCTTTAACGTGCACCCAAATGTGAGCACACGAATCTACAGCATTTCCACCTCCACCGGAAATGCAGCCGCCCCAGTCGGTAGTCGGCCCCGCGTCCTGCGGGTCAGCAGCCGTGTACTTTAGCCACCAGACCATGGCCGCGGGGCTTGAAATGCTTATTGAATAACAACTGACTGCAATCCGGTTTAATCACAAGTGAAAATAAAAAAATGCTTAGTAGGGATGATTACGTCACTCCGGCAGTTTTGGTAACTGAACGCTCCGTTAATTAAGCCTTGTTGGTTTGCCAAGTGACGTTTTTGCAGCAACATCTTCCTTGAAATCTGATTTGCCGAGGCTTTCGGAACTTCTATTGTTTATATGAAGCGCACTCGTTCGGCCAGCTCACGGAGGTGAGCCGGCCGAATGAGTGCGATTTGAGTCATGTCGTGTCGATCGAGAAGAAAACAAAGCTAGCAGTATACTGAAACCTAGAGCAAGTTATGACATTTTCATCAAGTGTTGTGTCGACAAACTAGCCCTCAATCCTTCTGCGCAATGCTCTATCCTGTGTTTTCCCCTCTTTCTAGGGTTGTAAGCATAGAGGCAGGAAAGAAAGTTATAGTTTCTTCACAAGAGCGAAGCAATGAATGTGATAGCAACAAACGGGAATGTTGCGCAAATAACACCAACAACATCGAAACGTGAAACGCGCTGCTCGAGATGAAAGAACGCATTTAAACACGCACAAGATGAGAGCCAGCTAACAACGTTCACAACTCAGCACTCAGCGCGCTGCTCTAACTCAAAAGACGCACTTGCGTATACGCACAGCTACATAAAGAGTGAGAGCGAACTACCAGTGCCCCGGTTGTTACTACGCAGCGTTTGAAAAACGCACTCTTTTCACAAAGAGAGAGACCGCAGCGAGTGAAGTGACCTTCCTATGCCTTTAAAAAAATGGCAGCGTATTGCCACGTTCCATTTCTCAAGTTTTGTTATCGCCCCAAAACACTACACAATCCTAAGCGCAAAACGCGCGTGCAGTTTTCGAGAAGCTTCTGGACTTTAGTAGATCATTTCGATAAGATCACGCCCACTCTGCGAACTGTACAGATTATTCTGGAACCTACGCCATCGCCAGCGATAACGATAGAACATTCGACGGCAAGAGTGTAAATCCCGAAGCACTTCACCGCTTATGAGTGGTTGATCGACGGCCGACGCTCCGTTCGTTGCTATTAGTCCAAGACTGCTACTGTAATCGGACTTTCCGTTTACCGGGCACAGGGTCGCCCAAATAAACAGTTAAATTCCAACACAAGGTCTTCTGTCTTCGGCCACGTCACGACCCCGTGACATCTGGTGGAGGTCTGTTTCTCCCATGTACCGGACGCCTCCTTCAAGCCGCGACCCCAGCCCAAGCGTCAAAGAAGACACGGACGCTAACCCTGAACAGCGAACAAGCCGCAGGCAGAGGGGACTACAACCAGAGTACAGGCCCCTTCCTGAAGTAGCCAGGCAGACTCGGATCCCGACATCAACTACTGCAACCATGACCGCCCCCGTTCAGCCTGCACCACTCCTGCTCCGGCAACCCGAAGAGCCGCCAACTTTTCGCGGTTCGCCACTGGAAGACCCGGAAAGCTGGATCGAAAGGTTTAACCGCATCGCCGCCTTCAATGACTGGACAGACGATGACAAGCTCCGGCATGTGTATTTCGCCTTAGAAGATGCTGCTCGGACCTGGTTCGAGAATCAAGAGCGAAGCCTTACAACGTGGGACGTCTTTCGCGCCAGGTTCCTCACCACTTTCACAAGTGTGGTGCGCTAGGAGAAGGCCGCGGCTCTTCTTGAAACCCGCATGCAGATGCCGAACGAAAACGTGGTGCTATTTACTGATGATATGATTAAACTTTTCCGCCACGCTGACTCCGGCATGTCTGAGGAGAAGAAGGTCCGTCTGCTCATGCGAGGAGTAAAGCAGGAGCTCTTTGCCGGGCTAATCAGAAACCCGCCAAAGACGGTCGCCGTATTCATTTCAGAAGCATCTATTATAAAGAAGACGCTCGAGATGCGCAAGCGGCAATATAACCGCAGCTGCTCGTCTACCAGCTACGCCGACATTCAAGCGCTTGGAACCACTGACTTGCGTGAGACGATCTGAGCGATCGTGCAAGAAGAGCTGCGAAAATTAATTCCTTCAGCGCAGTCTCACGTGGAATCCATCGCGGACGTCGTACGCCAGGAGATCCAGCAATCGCTGGGCGTTCCTCAGCCTCAAGAGCCTCAGCTGCAAGCCATGAGCAATGCTGCTGCAGCCCGTCGCCACGCCCCTCCTCCACGCGCTCGCCAAAACGCTGCCCCATCGCACTTCCGTCGCCAGACGCCACCGCCCCACCCCCCCACCGGCGTCCCACCGTTCGCCAGCGGCCCGGCGCAGTGCGCCGAGAAAGACTGACTTCGGGCGCACCCCTGACCATCGCCCACTCTGCTACCACTGCGTCGAGGCCGGACACACATACCGCCGTTGCCAGTACCAACAGATGGGACTGCGTGGCTTCGCCGTCAATGCACCGCGTCCGCAGCCAGGAGAACGGCTACGTGACATCGCCGACTACCTGACAGGAACTCAATGGACACCACAAAGTCCTTTCCGTTAGCCGTCGCCCAGCCGCCGCATGTAACCGCACCCCGGCAGTACTCTGGCCCAACGCGGGGCCGGTCTCCTAGCCCGTCTCCTAACTAAGGGCAGCAACCGATGAAGGAGCAGTTGCTGTGCGACGAACTACCGAAGATCCTCCGACGACGACGACGCCGCGACGGAGCTTTCCGAACACAGCGCCAACCAGGCAAAGCCCTGACGGCGAAACCTCACTTACCGAAGGTGACCTAACGACGCAACATGGAAGCAGCGAAACAAGTCGACGCAGCCTTGACCCGACGCCACACCCTAACTGTTATGCGAGACGGTGAACTAGTGACCTGGACGTTCTTATCGACGGCCACAGTGTGACCGCTCTGGTCGATACTGTAGTCGACTACTCCGTCATCAGTCGGTCGTTCGCCGTGAAGTTAAAGAAAGTTAAAACAGCTTGGGAAGGCCCTGAAATCTGCACAGCCAGAGGTCATCTCGTAACGCCTGCAGGAATCTGCACAGCGAGAGTCAACATTAACGGCCGTATTCATCCTACTGCAAGGGATGAATACTTCGTAGTCATACAGCGTTGCTCGAGAGATGTCGTCCTTGGCACGGACTTCTTATGCCTCCATGGTGTTGTCATCAACCTAAAAACAAAGTCGACAACGTTATCCACAGAAGAAGCACTACCGCCGCGAGCGAACGCCGTCAGGAAACAATGCCTTGAATGTGCTGGAAGAACAAGTCACCATAACGCCTCGCCCAAGCGTCATTATTTCAGTCGGTGCTCCTAAATCACTTGACTTGGAAGGCGTCGTTGAAGGCAGTCAGCATCTGTTGGTCACCCGAAATATTTGCGTCGCAAGAGGAATTGCAGAGATGCGGGGAGGCAAAGCAAAGGTTATGCTCACAAATTTCAGCAATGAGTACAAACATGTGAACAAAGGAACAACGGTCGCATACATCGAAGAAATTGTCGAAGCCACCACTGCTTTCGCCCTGGCCAATTCTGCAAAACCTGCTCTGAGTAACCAAGCCCCTCCCATAGCTTTCGATGTCAATCCCAGATTTCCAAACCATAAGCAAGAATAGCTAAAGGCCCTGCTCCTGCAATACGAAAATTGCTTTTCGTCGTTATCAAAAATCCGGCAGACCCCAATCACGAAACATCGCATCATAACCGAATAAAATGCCAGACCACTCCGTCAGAGTCCGTACAGTGTTTCGACGCGAGAACGTGAGGCCATGAAGAGCCAATTTGATGAAATGCTGCGGGATGACATTATCCAGCCGTCCAAGAGTCCATGGGCATACCCCGTGGTGTTAGTGAAGAAAAAGGATGAGCGCCTACATTTTGCGTCGATTATCACCGCCTGAACAAAATCACAAGAAAGGACGTGTATCCTCTCCCACAAATAGACGACGCACTTGATCGGCTCCATAACGCCAAGTACTTTTCGTCAATGAACCTCAAGACTGGCTATTGGCAACTTGAAGTCGACGAAAGAGACCGATAGAAAACGGCGTTTATAACACCGGACGGCCTCTTCGAGTTTAAAGTGATGCCCTTCGGTCTGTGCTCAGCGCCTGTAACTTTTAAACGTGTTATGGATACAGTACTGGCAGGATTGAAGTGGCAGACTTGCCTTGTGTACTTGGACGACTTTGTCGGGTTTTCCTCGAGTTTCGACGAGCATCTTCGGCGCCTTGAAGCTGTACTTCAAGCCATCAAGACGTCTGAACTCACACAAAGCCATAAAAGTGCAGAGTTGCGTACGAGGAGCTCTTGTTTCTGGGGCACGTTATTAGCAAGTTGGGAGTTTGTCCCGTTACACGGAATAGAGCCGCCATCGCTGACTTCCCGCCGCCCACTGACAAGAAGGCGAAGCGCCAATTTCTGGGCCTGGGTGGAGTTAAATTTCTGGGGTGGAGTTAAAGTGGGAAACAACGCAGGAGCACGCTTTCCAGG